ACCACCTGAGTGGGGACTCCAGTCTGGTTGGCTGTGGAGCCCGGACTGGCTTCTGACACAGTCTCGCTGGCCCGCATGGCACCTTCTGGGAGAAGGGGTCCTGGGGTCAACCCTACCTCTGCCTCTACCCCACCCTGAGCCTAAGCCCATCAGGATGGGATGATGCAGTCTAAAGCCAACCCCTGATGGGGCCAGGCCTGCCCCCACCCATTGGAGTGGGGTGGGGGCCAGGAGGACCCTTAACTTCCAGAAGCAGCCTCCACCCTACCCTCCTCCAAAGCCGGACTAGAAGGGGTGACTGGAGAGCCATGATGCAGCAGAGGCCTCGAAGGCTGGATCCCCTTTTCCCAACAGATAGAACTTGTGGACAGGCAGTGACTGGCCTCCACCCCAGGGTCCCAGCCACCCTGGAAGGACCAAGGCACTAGGGCCACCTTCCCTGAGATGATCCCTTGCTTCCCAGGAACCAAAGCTGGTCAGAGGAGTGGCCTCAGAAGGCCTCCCTGGCAGGTGGCCAAGTGGCCCCTCCCTCTCCACTATACCAGCCTCTCTGTCTTCAGTGGGGTGGGGGCAGGTAGGTACTCACCCAGAAGAGTAGCCAAGAAGAAGCAATCATAGAACATGGTGCCCGCCTCGCCCGCCCCCTGCCCTGCTCGGCATCCAGGGGAGCCTGCCTGGTGCTCCTCACTCCTGGCCCACCTCTTAGGGAACTGCAGGTTGCGAGGGCGGCTTTACACCAGCAACCTTGAAAAGCTAATCCCCCCCACGAGTGGATGCAGAGCTCCTGGCTGCCCTCTTGGAATAAACACCCCGCTCCTAGCAGGTGTGGCCCAAACGGAGCCTTCTTAGGCCTTCTCGGGGCTAGGGCTACACTGTGGGGTCAAGAGGAAGGCTGGTACCCTGAGATGCTATCAGGTGGGCGAAGGTCGAGTTTCATGCACATCTCACTGAGTGATTAGATTAACAGGAGCTGGGAGGCGGGGGTGTAGAGTTTGAGTGTCCCTCAGGGGCTGGCTGGGAGACCCTCACTCCAGCTAAGATGCTGTCCATCTCACCCCCATGTGTGGCCTGGTGCTTCCAGCAGTTCCAGAAGCTGTGGTGGGGCTGGGGACACAAATGTACCTGCCCTCTCTCCAGCATGCTTCCACAAGGAACCTGGGGCCCAGCCCCAATTCCTGGGGTCCCTGGCAAGATTAGGAGGTGGTGGGCAAGGAGGGCTCAAATTAACTCTAGTGCTTCTGGTGCCCCAAGAGCTACACTGGGGTCTTCCTGGGCAGCTGGAGACGGATAGAACTTTTATTACTCCCGATTTCAGATATGGCAACAGGGAGAAAGGAAGTGACTTGCCCAAGTGAACCTCACACCACTCATGGCACCCAGAGTTGCAGATCATGCCCAGGCTAAGGCCCCAAGGGCAGTGGTGTGCAGACTCAGGCATGTGGATACAGGGGCCTGTGGGGACACTACAAGGGCCAGAGCATCCCAGGATGGGGCTCAGTATCCAATGGAGGCCTTACATTGGCCACATGTAGGGCAGGGATTAGGACAACACCATGCCTGCTTGGCCAACTGCCTCTGCAGCCAGCTCCAAGAGGCAAGGATTCCTGTGTTGCTGGAAACTTCCCTTGCATCCACTTAGGTTTCCCTGAGCCGTGAGGGAGGAAGCACTCACTGAGACTTGCAAGAAACCTGAGAAAACCGAGTCATGTGAGGGGCTCGGCACACCTGGGTGTCTGTGGGGCACAGGGAGCAAGACCAAGCCCAAGCGATGGTGCCCAACCAAGGAGGCCTGTGGCAGGCCTACTGCAAGGTGGGCAATGAGTCGGGGGCAAGCCTAGACACCTCCTAGGCCCTGGGGCTCTGGTGAAAACATTGAGGCTGATCCTTGAGAGGGATCTTCAGCAGTTGGAGGCCTGGGCACCTGCCGAGATCAGACATCTACCTGGGAAGAATCTTGCCTGTCTCCTGCCTCTGGGGTGGCCCTCAAGGCTGGGACTCCCATGTTTGCCACGCCAGGAGGGCAGGCCAGGGCACACAAGGATAAGCAGGTGAGGTTCCAGAATCTACTCTTCAGACGAGGGGCTTCCTGTATGCCCCATCTGCCTGTGTCTTGCCTGAGCTGTGTGTATAGGGGAGAGGGGGACATGGAGTCTGAGAGTGTCTGCATCTGTCTGTCTGCCATCTCCATTCTTGGCATATGCATGAGATCAGGGAGGGCCCCACTGTCTCACGTCTCTAGTCAGGAAGTGGCAGCTGATTTCCTGTCCCTCAATCTGATGAGCCTCTCTTCCTCCCTGGGCCCCGCGCTTCCTCTTTGAGACCTATTCATGCCTCAAATGCCACGAGCTACTTGGGGGACACTGAGGGAGGGCCGTTGCCTAGAGATGACAGATGAGAAAGTCTGGCCCTCTCTCTGCTGGTCTGTTGCTCCCAGCAATGACTTTAATCAGGGGGATTTAGGGGGTCTTCTGGGCCTCTGCAGCCCCCAGGTTCCTGGGTCCCTTGTCTTTCCTGACCTCAGTTTCCCATCTCTGGGGAAACCCAAACTTCTCCCCTTCATGTCCCTCTCTCGGGCACAAGTCTTTTGGATTCCCAAGGACTCCATGTGAGAGAGAGGCAGGGAAGAGGGGCTGGAAATGGTCCCTCATTCAGCCTAGCCCCATCCCTAGCAGGCAGTCTTGGTTTCACTGTCCTGGGAAGCTGCCGGGGCTACAGCACCCTCCTTCCACTTTGAGCTTCCAGCAAAGGGTCTGGTGGCCTATGAAGATGGGATTCATGAAACTACAGGATTGTTTCAGAGCAGGGAAACTTGAGCTGCCTTCCCATCACCTCTGAAGTCACCTTAAGGCAGAGTCTGAAAGGACCAAGCTGGATGACCTGCCTTCTAGTGCTGCTTCAGGCTGGCTGCCAGCCTCCTAGGCTCCAAATCTGGGTCCAGGCCCCTCCCTGCTCCCTCCTTTCGACTGCCTGGGTCCCTGGTCAGCTCAGATTGCTTTTGGCCCTGGAGGAGCCCTGGGAGCCTTGCTGGTGTCACTTACACCCTCCACTCTTTGCTAGTGTCACTTACACCCTCTACTTCCCCTGCCTCAGGACTGGCTCATGGCCTGAAGACTATCCTTAGATGCAGAGGGACACTTACCTGGGAGAGGGTCATGGGGGAACCTAGGAAATCACTGCAAGGGGGTGGGGGAGGGGTTGACAGAGCAGCAAGTGTGGTGGCAGGGCACCAGCCCACCTCCCCTTTCTCAGAACAGATCAAGGAAGCATTGCCCAGTCACCCTTTCAGGGACAGGCTTGCTCCTGGCAGAGCCAGGAACAGCAGGAAAATGAAATTCCCCAGGACCACTGTGAAAGAGGATTTAGTCACTGTCTGACCAAAGAAGGGATCCCAAGAGTCATCTCAATAGCCTGGAGTGCCCTGCAGCATGGTGGGAGGACTGGGGGTGGGAGGATGAAGGCCACCTAACCAGGCCCCACAGCTACTGAGAGTCTGCCCAGGTCTGTCTGACCCAAAGACCACACATGGCCTTGACCTCTAAGCACGTGGCCTCCCTGGGGGAGCGTCAGCAGGAGCAGAAGAAGCCGAGGAGGTAGGAAGAGAGGAGGTGGGCCAGGACTTGGGGATTTCTGAGGCCTAGAGCTGTGTGCCCATTCCAGACCCTGTTCTAGGAACCATGGACCAGAAGGCAGCTAAAGCTGGCACCCAGGAGGTCCAGGGCCAAGTAATGTCCTGGGGGCTGAGCAAAGCCCTCCAGCAGTGCCAGGCAAGGTCTCCCATGGGCTCCTGGCTGCCCAGGGGCTGATGGGTTGTGAGGGCTGTGCAGACTCAGGCCAGCACTCACGAGGGCGTTCACTGGTCATTCCATGAAGACCCAGTGGACAGAGCCCTGGCCTCACAGATCATGGAGGTAGACATCATCACTATCACTTCAGGTGGTGATGAGTGTTAAGAAAAACAAAGCAAAGTAAGGAGACAGGGAGTAAGAATGGGGTGAGGAGGTGTGGGCGTCAGGGAGGCGGCATCTGAGCAGAGACTGGAAGAACATGAGGGGTAAACCACCAGAAGGGAGTGTTCCAGGCAGAGGGCAAGGAGAGTGCAAAGGCCCAGATGCCAGACTGGGCCTGGGGTTTGCAGAGCTGCAGGAAGGCCAGTGAGGCTGGAGCAGGGGTGAAGGGGGCAGTGGGACAGGTGCGGCTATGCAGCCAGCAGGCCTCACAGGCCAGAGTTGGGAGGCTCGGTGTTCGGTGTTCGTGAGTAGAAGCACAGTGCGTATGGAACATTTAAAACCTTTTCCTGTGGGACGGGACACAGGGGGCCAGATCTCCTAGGGCTCAGAAAGCCCATGCCAGGGTTTCTCAGAATGCCTAAGGGCAACCTGCTTCGGAATCATCGGGGTTGAGCTGGGATGTGAGGGGGTCTAATTGACAGTTGTCAATAGGCTCCCTCTAGCTGCGAAGGGTGAGGGTGGAGGCTGGACCAGGGTCGGGGCCATGGAGGCGGGAGAAATGGCAGATTCTGGCTGGCTGTAGGAGGTGGAGCTAAGAGGCCTTGCTTGCTCTAGGATGGGTGAGATAGTAATCAAGGCTAACCCATGACTGGGGGTGGTGGTTACGAGGACAAGGAAGCCTCAAAAAGGGTGGATCTGAATTGCCAGAAATCCAGAGTTCCATTTGGCCATGGTGGCTTCGGAGACCTGTTCGACCAAGTGGATGGTCATAGGAGGCTAGACACAGGATCCTGGGGTCCAGGACCGTGGCCCAGGGCAGACCTCAGTGTGAATATTGTCAGCATAGAAGTGGCATCAAAAGCAGACATTGGACAAGGCCACCCTGAAGGATGAGTCACTGGAGTGAAGAAGAGGCCCCAGGCCTATTGAGGTCATTGCTGACCAGGCTGGGGACGTGAGAAGGACACAACAAAGAGGACAGAAGGGGTGACAAGGAGGTGACAGAGACCAGGACAGAGGGCATCTCTGGGAGGATGGTGACCTCAACTGGGACACTGGGGAGGAAAGGTGTGGGTGGCTGGGGAGCGTGCTCAGGTGAGGAAGGGAGGATGAATACTTTGAGGAATTCTGACTTAAAGGGAAGAGAAGATACTGGTGGTAGCTAAAAGGGGTGCAGGGCCTAGTGGGTCCTGGGTAAAATGGGAGCTGTTTTATCTTTGTGGGCAGGAAAAAATGCAAGATAGGGATCAAGTGACAAGGCCGGGATGGCAGGAGCAAGTTCTGGAGGGGGCGGCCCAGGACAGGTGGAGCCGGTGGGTGCAGACGCAGCTGGGAGGCTGGCTGAGCGGCAGATGGGGTCTTTTTCATCACATGACGCCGCATTGTCCCCAGTGAGGTCAGTAGCAAGGTCAGGGGTCAAGAGCGTAGAGGGAGAGGGAGGTGATGGAAGTGAATGAGGAGAGGAAAGATGGTTTCTGGGACAGTGGGTGGTTCACTGGTAAGCAGATACAGCAGGATCACTGGACAGTGCTGAGAACCCACTGGAGATCTTTGGCCTGGAAACCCTGGCCTTGTCCACGGCCTGGTCTCAACCCAGAGCACTCAGCATCGCTCTCATCCACCATCCTCCATACCATCTGTGTGGTAAAGAGTCACTGCTCTGAGCCCCTGTGTACCCCAAGCGCCTGGCCCTCCTGGGGACCCTAACACTGCCAGAAGCCTCCAGGATGCTGCCCAGGCCCCCGGTTGCCTCTGTCCTGGCCCCATAGGCCATGTCGATTGCCACAGATTTGACTTTCTGTCATCTATGGTCCTAAACTCAATCTTGATCTGCTCTTTTCCAGCCCCCTAGGATGCTCTCTGACCCCCGCGACCTTTTTTTCCACTAAGGAAGGACTGGGCCAGCCTCAATTCGGGGTTTCGCTGCATCTTTCCCCCTACTCATAGCACATTGGAAACCACTAACAACACCCAGTCCTAGCCTAAGCTGCATCTTCTCCCTCAGGAGTGACCACCTGTCCTGACCCTCTGTTCCCGGTTCCCTCTGCCCAGCCTATCTCTGTCCCAGGAGGGACTGGGGCATAGGTTAGATGCTCTAGGCAAGAACCATGGGCGCCATGACCCAAGTTCCCTGGTCGTTCCAAAGCTATAAGAGGTGGCCAGTGTAAGAAAGAGGAGCCCTTGGCCACATGCTCTTGAACTTGTCCAGCCAAGAGCCCAGGAGCTTGGCTCCTGAGTCCTGCCAAAAAAGGAAACAAGACAGGGGAAGTGAGGTGATACCTCTGGGCCCTCCAGCCAATCTCCCTGAAGTGCCTCCGTGAGTGTCTCCCACGCATCACTGAGTGCACAAAGCCGTCATGATCCCTTTTGGATGAGGAAACAGGCAGTGTGGCTAAGGGGCTGGTGAGCAGTGAGGCCAGGACTAGAGCACAGCAGCCATGTACTCCCCCTCCTCTCCAGCAGGTGTTTGTGAACTTTAAATTCCACTGCCCAATCCTTTCTTCAAGTGACATCTTACTAGGGATAGACAGAACAGTTCTAAGAGCTGCCTTGGTAGGGAGGAGTTGGGGGCACAGAGGCCTCCCTGCTTGGCTTGACAACTCCTTCCCCAGAGACATGGCCCCCAAATCCTGCCCGGGAAGCCTGGAGAGTTTGAGAGCTGCCATGCTGGCACAGTAAGAGACAGTGAGAGGGTATCACCGCTGTGCCCTCACAGCCAGGATGTGGGGCTCCCAAAAGCTCCTTTCCAAGTTGTTCATAGAGCACCCTGACTCTGCCCACGTGACCACTTACCCGAGACGGTGACCACGATGTACTGCTGGGACACTGGGGACGGGGTGGGCGTGCCGGCCGGCTGCGAGGGCGTGGGGGCAGCCGGGAGTTCCGTCACGTACTGCTTCTGGCTGCCTGGTGGTTGTGCCTGGGGCTGAGGGCTCTGCAGCTCAGTGACATACTGGGGCTGAGGGGTGGCGGCGGTGGCAGGTGGCTGGGGGGGCTGGGGTGCTGCTGATGGTGGTGGCGGCGGCTGGGGCTGGGCCTGTGGCGGAGCCTGTGGTGGCTGGGAGGGTTGCGGGGCTGCCTGTAGCTCAGTAACGTACGCCTGTGTTGCCATGCCAACAGTGGGGAAAATGATAATAAATAAGGCTTTTTTTTTCTTCCTTGGGAAGAAGAAGGGGAGGGGGTAAGAGGAAAAAGAAAACAACAAAAGAAGGAAAAACAAGAATTAATCTACAGGCAGAGGAAACCAGGGACAACTCCTGGCTCCCTAGAGACACGGTTGGGTTCATCACTCATTTAATTAAATCCCGAGGCATGTGGCCAGATATATCCAACACATCACTGCAAGGGCACTGGGTATGGACCAAGTCTGATCTGTGCCTCTTCCATTTACCTCTGCCCAAGACTCCTGACTTCTTCTGTCCAAGCCCCTGGAGCCAGGGTGGGTACCTCTGTGCTGGGGGGACCTTGGGCCCACACCCATGGACAAATGATACAGTTCTCCTGCAGGCCGGGCACTGTGCTCAGTGCTTTCTTTACATTATTTCACGTTCAACTTTGCAACAATCACATCTGGGTTTGGATTCAGTCTGCCAGATGAGGAGTTGAGACTCAGAGAGGTTAAGGAGCTTGCCCCGGGCCACACAGCAGGGAAGTGGCAAGGCTGAGTCTGAACCCCAGTTGCTCTGAGTATTTGATTAGTGGGCTAATTGCTGGAAAGAAAAGTCATGGGAAAAGTTGTCTGCCAGCCAGCCTGTACTAGCTTCCTACGTGCCCACCATCTGGGTTTGGATTCTTGGCTGAATATTGTTCCCAGTGGGTGCCAGACACCAGGAAGATGTTTGAATCCAAAAGCCCCCCTGAACTGCTTGTGGCTACAGCTTTCAGGCCTTTGCCCAGGGGCAGTTAGAGGTGGACACACCAAATGGGAGTTCGTCACAGGGAGAGTGCCCTACTGGGGCCAGAGGGCAGGCCCAGCAGCTGTGCTGTCCTCAGAATGGGGCCCATTTGATCAAGCAGAGGCAGCCTTTCTGGCTCTTAATGGGTGTTGGTCCCTCTCCCAGGTGCTGGGCTAGGAAAGGTGACCCTCTTTCTAGGCCCCGCCCCTTCTCACTAAGCCCCACCTCTCACTAAGGTACCCCATCCCATCACCTGAGCATCTAAGAATGGTGGAACAAATGCTTGAGTGGTTCAGAAGTGAAGCTCCAGCCCCACACCTTTGTGGCCCTGCTTTGCACCTGTAGTTGTTTGAATTACAGAGCCCTGCCTGGTCTGACTAAAAATGGGATTTTCAAGGGGAAGGAGGAGAAAAACAACTGCTGCTCCTTGACCAGAAGCCCCTGAGGGTTTTGCTGTGATTAACTCCTCACATAGCCCCGCCCCGTGTGAAGAGCCACCACGCCCATCTTAGAGATAAGCAAAGCTAGACTTTGGGGTGAGCTGTCAAAGGGTGCACAGCAACTGGGGAAGGATTTGAACCCAGGTCTCTCTGACCCTCAGACATGCTCTTAGCCTCCAGCCCTACTTAGGAAGCCAGGCTCATTGATTTCTCACAAACAATAGGTTTTCAGGTGGGGAGACTTGAGGGGCCCCCACCCCCACCTGCCAGAGGTTAGCCACCTGCCATGGGCCCCATTAGAGCAGCAGAGATGGGGAGTGGGGAGCTCACCGAACAGCCTGAGGGATGCTGGGCAGCACAGTACTTCCTCTGTCCCTCCCTTCCTGGAATCCTTGCTCTACTCTTTAATGCCATACCCAAGAGATGTCTAAGTCAGTAGTGGCCAAAGCAGGTGAGAAACCCTGGATGGGGCTGATGTACAAATTAAACTTGGCTACCTCTTAGCTAGGTGACTTGGGAAGGGGCCTCCCCTCACTGGGCCTCCACTGCTCTGTCTATGAAATGAGGAGGACAGCAGGCCTACAATGAAAGCTTGCTGAGTTCAGTCTGGTTGTGTGGGAAGCCTGCCTGACCAAGCACAGGATAAGCACTTAGGAAATGGCTCTAGTTCCCATCATAGCCCAAGGCCCTTTAACAAAGCTCCAGAAAAGAGGACAAAGCCATCAGGCCCTGCTCTGGTCTGTGGAGTACAAAGGAAATGGGGGGTTCTGTCTGCACTTGGGTGTGCCCATTTGCATGGCTTGCTGGCTGGCATGGACAGAGCTGGTAGAGCCCTGGAGTCACCCTCCCTGGCAGGCCAGGTCATTAGGGACAGAGGGCAGAGGCAGATGGGATAGGCCCTGGTTTAGGTTATGGGGAGGCATCCACCAGGCACAGTGGATGAGTAGTTGGTCTTAGTGCTTCCCTGCCAGGGACTCAGGCTATAGGGGGAGATTGCCCACCTGGAGAGGGAACAGACTGCTGTCTGCCATACACAGGGAGAAGACATCTTGCTCCAGCCTCTGCCCTCCCCAAACTCTTT